GAGAGAGAGAGAGAGAGAGAGAGAGAGAGAGAGAGAGAGAGAGAGAGAGGCTGTGTATCTATCCTAACTATTTTGAATATACAGATACAAAATAGCCCTTCATTTGTATCCCCTTTTTTTGTTTAGTTTTGTCAGAGATGAGTATTCCATTGCCATTTAAATATTGTAGGTTCATGAGTTCAGTAAAATATTCCAATACAGTCCAGTAGTACATAATAATAGTGGGTTATCCATAGTACTGGTAAGGTCAGAGGTTGTTGACTTGAGCCTTTTACAGCTCAGTATATTAATATGACTTTACATTACGTATTTCATTTTTATACTTTTCTACTGGATGGTTAAGACCAAAATAAAGCAAGACCTGCATAACATGAAAAAGCATTTTCAAAATGTTCTTGTGCAAACTTGAGAATGTTATGGTCTTTAGGATGTTTATTGGACTAGTAGTATCTCATTATTTTGGGAAAAATGGATGAAAGTAAAGAGAAGAGTGACTATACACTGCATCTATATTAAATGAATGACCAGCACATTAAGAAGGCATTATTCTACACAAGGGTATTAATTTGTCAAATCCAATGGATCAACAAATTTGTCAGAACTAAAAAAATTCACCAACTCAAAGCTTAACTGAGTTTGCAGATGATTAGAATATAAATAGATTTTTATATTTATAAATATAGCACAAATATAAATCAAATAAGTTTAAATGTTGCAATGCATTATAGCTTAAGGAATCTGAATGCACTAAAATTTTATATCCTATGCTATATAAGTTTGTATTTTTATGTATAATTTGCATTTTCAAAAGTATATGAATGGAAATGTCCCAAACTAACAAGTAGGAAGAGCTTGGGTATTCTCAAGGTTCTGATGTCACTGTCTTTTATTAGTGAATTAGGGCACCAAAGGTCTTCTGACTATAACAAAAACTCAGAATCCAGGCCATTATCTGGAAGGTGACAGACATTTTTGTGGGGATCCAAAAACAAGATTTTTTGCAGACTCTTGGCAGAGATAAGCACATAATCTAATTGGTACAATATAGTCTCTTAAAATTAAAAAATAATTTTACCAACACTGAACATTGGCCAGATTTTAAACATTCAAATACAATAGAAGGTCAACCTCTCTACTCTGGGAGTAAATTAAAATAATAGCATAAAATGAAATTGTCTTCCTTTTTGTCCTCAATATTTTCCCTTCATTATTTCCTTCAATGGCAGTGGAGAGGTATTGCATATCACTTGGAGTCTGTAAATTTTTTATTAATTTTATTGAGAAACAAATGGTAATGAGATAGTTTCAAAACTGATTAGTAGGACAGTTTCAATAATTAATACACTGCATATTGTTATCTTCATAGTGGTTGTTCATAGTATAAGATGCAGACATGATATCCTGTCAAAACACTATTAATACAAATCTTTCTTCTCATTGAATTAAGAGAAAGTAGCTGTATATCTATCCTAACTATTTTTAATAGTATATTATTTGGGGACTTAAATTCAATTTAGAAGCAAGTAATTGCTATTGATTCATTCTATTTTTTAAATGACCTGACTAATCAAATTTTGAGAATACCACTAAATAAGAAGTATTTTAAACAGACATTTTTCTGAATTCTGCAAGGAGTTACACACAATAAAATCTAAGTATA